GCCCCCCCCCCGGGGGGGGGGGTCCAGGAGGACTTTTCAATCAGTCTCCCTCCAGCAGGGGCAGGCAAACTTTTTCTGTATGGAAATTGTGCAGTGGGCGAAGATCGGGCACAAACTCGGGGGTTGGGGTGGGGCCAGCTTGAGGGGGTTTGGGTAGTCCGACCTGGGATTGAGGGGTGTGGAGTAATCTGGGCTGGGATTGAGGGGCTGGAGATGAAGGGGTTGGGGTGCAGGAGGCGGCTTGGGCCTTGGATCGAAGCCTTCAGCGGACAGGAGAGGGCTCGGGGCTGGGGCAGGGGGCTGGGAACTGCGTGAGGTGTGGGCAGCCGGCTCCCCCGCATCTGGCCTGGTGCTTTATTATTGCCCTTCCGGCCTGGCCCGGGCGGCGCCTCCTTCCTGAGGTGCGTCCCGAAGCTGCGGGCTGTGCCTGGTGGACTGGCAGGGGATGCAACTCAGCCCAGCACCCCTGAAGTCAGCAGAAATTCGGACCATTTCCCCCAGCTGAGGGCTTGGCTCCTTGGTGACCTCAACCCTGTTTCTTTAAAACCCCTAAATCCCAGCCCCTTACTTAGGCTGCATCCTCCGTGATTCCAGACAGAAACTAAAACTCTCTTCCAGCCCTGCCCCCAGCTGTCTCCGCCCTCCTCCCTTTGTCTCCCTCCCCGGGAGGCTGAGCCTGGTGTCTGGGTTAATCCACATTTGGGAGAGTCGGTGGGAATCTCCCCCCCCAGGGCGGGGGGACCCCGGGTCACAGAGCAGACAGCCCCCCCCCCACCCCCACGCCACAGGTGGAGGTTCTGGGTGCAGGCCCTGGGCAGCACTTACCTCAAGCAGCTCCCAGAAGCATTGGCAGGGCCCCCCCTCCAGCTCCGAGGTGGCGACACGGCCAGGTAGCCCTGCATGCCCAGGGCAAGGCAAGCCCCAAACCTGCTCTGCAGCTCGAGGGCTGGCTTAGAAGGTCTGGTGAGCCGGGTGCTGCCCCAGGCCTCAGTTTGCCCCCAACTGCCCTGGAGCAAAGCCAGGCAGTTTGCCAGTGAATTTTGGGCTTTCCTGCCAGCCTCCCCCACCAACTCCACCTGGGCCCTGCGAGTCAGGCGGGGCTCCGTCCCTCTCGCTCAGCCCGGGAAACGGCCTCCCCACGGGGGTAAGGACGCTGCAGGCTCAGAGGTGGGTTATAAAGGTGATGGCGCTGACGTGGGCCACTCCGTGGTGAGGCATTGGATGGGGGAACCACACGACCACGTGTATCAAAACCGAGCCTGATACCAAGTGTCAGGGCGCTTTGCTCTCCGATGTAACTGCAAGCAGAGCCGGCCTCAAGCGCCTCTGTTCAGCGGGGCCTTGCAGGGGTTGGCTCGGCCCCGGGACTATGGAGCATTTTCACGAATGGTCTGGCAGCGGGACACTTCCTTAGCCCTGGAGACGGGAGCTGTAAGGGAACCTGCCCTCACCGTGAGACTGGCGACAGCCTTGAGCAGGGCCCCACGGCTCCAGCGAGGCCAGAGCTGCCGCCCGCTCAGCCGCCCACCTCATCCCGCTCGCGCACGGTACAATCCCTGGAGCTGCTGCACCTTCCGCCTCCCTCAGCGCACACCAGACCCTGCGCTCAGACCGAACCCGACCGCTGCCCCGGGCTACTGGAGCAGGCATGTAATGAGGAGCTAGCCTGGGTTGCAGGCAGTATGTCCTCTCTTTTTGTTTCCATGTGCGTGCAGAATAAATGTTCTTCTGTGCACCCAGGCATGTGTGAATGTGCACCACCAGTAGACACACATACTGCTGGCTGTGGGTGCTCTGCTAATCAGCTGGGTGGTGTGATGGCGCGGTGGGGTTTTCTCATCTCCTGCACCCCCGTAATGGCACGGACAGACTCCACTAGCCAGTAGAACAGAGGGAGGTTATTGCTTCTCCAGGATACAGCCCAGCACAGATGTCATCTGGTCACAGGGCAGGCCTAGGATGCTTCAGCCCCCCTTGAGATGGGGGAGACTGGGCCCCTAAATCCCAGCCCCTTTCCTTAGGCTGTCTCCTCCATGCTCCCAGACAGAAACTAACTCCCTCACTTCCAGCCCTGCCCCCAGCCAGGGCTCCACTCCCCTTCTTCCCATTGTTCCGCTCCCTGGGAGATAACTGGTCAGACAGGTTCGG